GCCGCTGGGCACCCCCTGGCTACGCATCTCGCCGAGATCTTATCCAGCAGGTTAAGTCGGCCGAGGTGGAAAAGCAACTCGCGGTCACTGGGGCAGACGGGAATACAACGAATGGATCTGCAAATGGCCACTCGCAGGAACATTTGACTGACGGTAAAGCTGGCAATGGTAATGTATAAGGCATGAGTACAAAATTAACATTGTTATATTTGCCTTTCTTTCATCTGTATATTGTATTCTCTTAATCCACATGCCGATCTTTTGTATCACAGAAAAATAATACGAACTTGTACTATATAATATATCCTTGCTCTGCACATATGTTAAATTGATAATATAGCACATCACCCATGCTTGCGAACGGTAGGCAATCATCATGTGCGGTAAAGGAGAAAACTTCGTTAAGTCAAGGACCGAAAGACGACAGACACGCGACTCTGGTGGTTACGAAATAATCCATCGATCACAGGGGAACCGATACTTATGTGTCTTTAGCACACCGAGCACGACAAAGGATCTTATCGTCGGTGGGTTCAATTCGTACGAGGATATGGCTCATTGACTTCTTGAAATGTACACGGGGCCTGTGTGAATTCTTCGAGGGGTTTAATGTGATTGATAGCATCTTCGATTGCTTGGGGCTCCTCTTCCTCTAAGGGCGCTCGAAAGCATCTTCCGCGAATTCCGCGACCGCTCAACATCGTGAACAGTTCCAAAAGTTTGTCGTCGTTCGGGGCCATGAGCGGGCCGTCTCTGAGAATTACGCTGTGGATTTCGTGGTTAACACTCAGCAAAAGGTAGTGTCTACTCTCACCTGGCGTAATAAAGATCATTCCATTTCTAAGTGGGAAGAGTGTAGGTCTTAGCACGAGACTCCCTAAAGGCCGCTGGAGTCGGGCATGATGCGACAACCACTCTGCCTAGGCGGAATGAAGAGGGATGGAATGGCACTGGAACTTGTTCTCATTTTCCAAACGCGGGCGGATGTTGGCGGTGGGTCCATCGAGCACGTCAATACGTTGATCATCTTCGCAGAAGCAGGTCTCAAAGGGCGGAAGGACGGACAAGCAGACGAATGCCAATGAAAGAGTAGATGATCCTTAGCCAAAATACAGGAGGGGAGCTCTTAGCTATAAGCACGCTGCACGTTGAGCAGACCTTCAGTCGGAGTTCGAAATTCCCCGACATTTATATTTGTCGTTCCCGTCAAAAAGACAACGAAATTTATGGTCTGACTCTGGGAGACTACATTTCCTGCATGAGCACAGATTCCAGGGGTTCCGCAAGTACGTTGTTTGTGACCAATATTCACCGTATAATTAACTGATGGCTTTGGCATTATTGGGAGGTATCCCTAATAGTGACTACTAGACGCAAGGACTCGTGAGACCTTGAATACGAAGTTCTTGAAGCGAAAATCGAAGCTAATTTAGATAATAATGCTGATGAGTCATTGCCAGTCAGCACAGGCACGCTGCGATATCCCGAGTCTTACTACCACTTTGTCACCGAACTCTGACGAGATCGATTTTACGTGGGTAGAATTCTTAAGTAATATTCGGTCCTCAACAAACCTTGCTGCCACCAGGTGGAATCAAATCAACTCGAAATCCAATTAGGGACCACCATGGCGGGCCAAAATTGTATGAAGACTTCTTCAAAACATCTGGACCTTTTTCGAATCTCTGCCAAACTCTATCGGTGCCACAGAGCGCTAGCAGTCTAATACGTACTGGGGCCGTTGACGCTACGAAGATGACCATGGATAATTCGTCAGCTTCGGCTGACACATGCTTTCGTCAATCTATTGACAGGTCTAGTTAATAACTTCCTCTCCATTTTTAACATGTCCATGGATGTTATGCGGCAAATTTCACTCTATAAAATGATCCCTTCGTCCCATTTTCTTATCCCAATTTCCTGTTACTGCCTACTGCCAAATCATTCCAACTAACCTCTACGATGGTTTTGAAACTCTATGGCGCGGCTGCGTCCACCTGTACTCGTAGGGTTGCTGTTGTACTCAAGGAGAAAGAGGTCCCATACGAGTTCATCCCGGTCGATGTATTGAAGGGGGAGAGTAGGACTCCAGAATATTTAACCAAACAACCTTTTGGTCAAGTCCCTTATATCGACGTGGGTGATTTATTTCAGTTGCTTCAAGTTGCTCGTCTAATCCAGTGGATGTTTCTTAGGACGACGGCTTCGTGCTCTTTGAGAGCCGCGCCATAGCTCGTTACATTGAAGCGAAGTACCCGACGCAGGGCACTCCACTTGTACCTACCGAGCCAAAGGCGAATGCCCTGTTTGAACAGGCGGTGTCCATTGAGACAACTGACTTTGAGCCTTCCGCTTCTGGTCTCACTTTTGAGAAGGCCTTCAAGAGGTATGGTATTTTGTGTGTACGGATACAGATCACATGGACTTCTCTCATCATTTTCAAGTTTATACCTCGGCTTGGAAACGGACCAAGTCCGCGCCAAGGAGCATATTGACAAACTTAATGGAAAGCTTGATGCCTACGAGGCTATGCTGCTCAAACATAAGTATCTTGGGGGCGATGTGAGTGTGACATCTTGTGAATTATTGCCGTTGTTGAAAGAAATACGTTGTATCAGGCGCTCACTTTAGCGGATCTGTTTCACCTTCCGTATGGATCGTTTGTTAAAACCATCAACCCTGAATCATTCTCAGCCAGGCCCCACGTCGCAAAGTACGTACTGTTGTGGCAAACATAATATCTTCTTCGAGACTCAATTGTGCTTTACAGGTGGTTTGAGAGTCTGGAAACCAGACCATCTTGGATCGCTGTTAAGAATGGCGTATAGAAATGGCAAGCGGGAAATATAATACACATCCCAGAAGGGCTGAATTTTTGTCATCCAATAAATTTGAACTTCGCTTGAGCTGATCCCAGTTGTGGTAACGGTTAACATTGCCGCCTTTCGTGAAAGTTTGGTCAAATGTAGCCTTTACATGATGTGTTGCTGCCTCTAATCAACTTTCCGAGCATTCGTCCTCACTGACTGGGGAAGTAGTTTAGCGAGAAGAGCAGCTCCCCCAGCTGTGAGCTCGGGTGAGCTCTCGAGAAAATTTTCATTGCGTACATGAATGGCTAAAGGCTGAAGGAGAAGAGTGTGGAAGGGTGGGATTGTTTTGTTCTGGTACATAGGTAGCATAGCGGGACTGAGACGGAGTTGATGGGAATGTATGAAATGAACAAAGAAAAAATTAAGAAAGGAAAGGGAAGATATGAGGGGCTCGGCCTGTGAGGGCCTCAAAGAGGAATGGGTTTTTGCGTAGTACGTAGCGGTTGAAGGTGTCTGAAGACCACTGTCCAGCTGCTTGTAACAAAGCAGGGGCTGTGCCAGCATCTGCTAGTGCAGTAGCACCACCGGCACACATTGATTGGCCACCAATAGAGCTGGGGAAGAAAGATCACAGATGGTGTATAAAACAGCTACGAGTTGGGATGGTACTGTTGGCATGTAGCCACAATTCGGGTCGTGCTCAGAAACGGTGATCTCGTGAAGAGATGTATGAGTTGAACAGATTGTAGGCTTCAGACGAAGTCTTTCGTATGAAAAGACGATTGCCCTCCAAATATTGGTCTGCTTTGTGCCTGTTAGGAATACTGTTACCATTTCCGATTATATGCATAATTTTAATTTCCCTTTTAGTATTCCCTTCTCACCATTTCAAACAGATGTCTTATTATTATTTTCCATCGAAGATATGTCTAGAAATGTTACTTTGAAGATACTTTCCGATTTTACTAGATAAGTGCTATGTTCACACGGTGACACAACCACTTAGTGCTTTGCATCTCAGATGGCTTTTACATTTATTTTCTAGTATAATTAATATCCAAAGATATTAATTATACTTGGTGGAGTGGGCCGTTGCATGGCATGACATGGCATGTATGAGTTGGCCTTGTTTTTGTTTCAATTTTAAAATAGAAGTATTCATACATAGGTTACTATTCCCTTGTAGGTGGACCAGCTTCCCAGGTTTGCCAGATTCTTGAGCTTGTGTTTAACCATTGTGGGAGTATACACAGATGGGATAATTTTTTGATCATTGTGATCTGAGAATGTAGAAAGTTTATAACTGCCTTAAATGGTGTGATTTTAAAAATCTCCTTGTGCAGGTCTATTCTAAATTGATTTTTTAAGGATTCTGTGTGAGCAGATGTTTTATTAAGGTGTGGGTTGAAGCTACACAATGATTTTGTCATGGATTGTCACTTTTGATCATGTGATGTCATTGAATATGAGCTGGGCCTATCTTATGGTGCTGTTCAAATGTATAGTGGCTGTTCAGCACAGCCACAGAAGCAAAATCCATGCTGAAATCTTATCCCAGTGATATTTGCCAAAATTTCAGTATTTATGGCCCACCAATAAATAGTTTTGAGTATTTTTATCATTGTTCATCTAGTGAACATGCCTTATCCAAACAAAGCTAACCAAAATATAAGGGCTCAAGCGGGAATTCAAAAGTAAGTATTAAGTATCTCCAAGAAGCTCACAAAATTCCACTTGGCCATTGGGTACTCACATAACAAGGATGTTGTCACTGGGACTCAAAAAGGAATGCAAGTATCCAGGTTGCAATTCAGATGCCACGGCTTGCCATGAAGACACTTAAAATAAATAAATTTATATATACCTGATATGGTATTTAGATAATATACCATATCAGGTAAGCAGCAAATTTCACAGTCACATCAATTTAATATCTTGCCCACTTTTGAAGCTATCAAAAATCTGTCTTACAGATCTCTTTGTATTACCGATTTGAGTGTTTTTGTAAGAGGAATAAGAAATCCGGGTCAATTTGTGGTCCCCATTTTGGCTATACAAAAGTGGCGGTGTCTAAGTGAATGGCACCATAGCGAGTGTGACTGAATCAAACGAGATCAAATGCTCCTGGCGGGCCAGTGGTATAGACTATTCCTTGCTTGATCCAAGTCATTCTATCTAGTAAAGAGTATATCCCGGTTGGTGTAACGGCTAACATTGCCGCCTTTCATCCCATGCCATCATGTGACATGAGAAATACCGCGGCAGCTCGGGGTTCGATTCCCCGATCGGGAAGCTTTTTCAACGTTGTCTCGTCTCGCATTCATTTATTTTCCTGTTTGTTTTTAGATCCCTGGCCCAGTCTCGCATAGCCGAAACTAATTCTAAAGTATCCAGTGAGGTGAGACATGATTTATTACTTCCCTGTTCACTTCACCTCTCGAAGAATTAGACAAATTTTAGCCCAAGAAGTAGGTTTAACATTGCACCCAATTCAAGAATATCTGTAGCAACAACTGCCAAAACGAAAACAAGGCATCTATTCTATAGTGTGGTACTACCAACAATTCATGAGGGCGTGGGGTGTCAGGACTGGCTATCCATAACAAGTTCTTGAACACATGCTGCACAACATTAATATTGGAGTTGACGTCAACATTGTAAATTAAAACAGCATACGCACCCGCACTGACGACTGGAGGGAGTGATAGATAAATATTCGGCAATCAGGATAACTGAATAGTAGACAAATGCAATATATACTTACAGCCTGTTTGCCCTGCATTATTGATGGCTTGATAGGCAGAGCTCTGGTGTGTACCTTTGAAAAGACCAGCGGATGATCGAAATAAGTATCTGTGTTGTGTCAGAACCCTCGAACTCACCGTCGAACCAATTATATCGTTGGCAATGAGGCAAATCCTGCGTGGCGCGTAGTATCTCACCCTTCGTGACTTTTAACCAGCCAGGATTTTGTTGGCTGTGCGCTGGAAATTAAATTAATTGTAAGATTCTCCATGATTTGAACGACGGCTTACAAGATTCAGCAATTACGCGCAATAATTTAGTGGATACTGGGGCAGATGGAATAGGTTCTGCAACTGAAGTTCGGCTGGATTTAGCAACGGGGACTGGCTTGCGTGAAGCCTGCGTGGGCGCAGCGACCGGATCTGGGGACTCAACGAATGCCATGGGATCATCTAACGTAGATCCAGGGCGACTGCTGGTAAGAATCGAGACGTGCCCTTCATCTATCGGTGATTCGCTTGATATGTTAACAAAAAGTAGTGATTGCTTAGAGTTGTCAAGCTCTTCTATTTTGGATATACACCGCATGATGGATGCAGCTGTGTGAGGGGGTGGAACGGAGTCGACTCTGATGCGCCCGACATCAGGGTTATTGGGGTCAGCGGGCTGCTTTGATAGGATGGCGCCATCCTTTTTATATGTTCGGTAATACACTGGATCAAATTGTCAGCGCCATGGGGTTAAGGAGTTCAATATCGCGCTTACAATATTGCGCTTCAAACGGCGTTGGGCCTTCCTGTGGCGGGAGAAGGACCGTCTCTGGTCTCTTTACGTCTGATAGACCTCTATCTGAATTTGAACACATGGCAACAAGCGCCATAGGCTCGTTTGGTGTGCAACCCGGGCCCGGATATGCAAGGATTGACACCCGACCGGTGTCGTCCATCGGAGCCTGACTCGAAGGAGAGACGAACAAGCTGGTCTGAATGTTAACGTCGATATTTTCGATCCGTGATAAGCAACGCTTGAGATTTAAGACTGTGTGAGGAGGTGTGACGAGTTTGACTTCGATGCGTCCTAGCGAAGGATCGTCCGTATAGACAGGGTTTGCTGATGGTACATCCCCATCATCTGCATACACTCTGTAGTAGACTGAGAAAATCAGATGATCAAGGAAGTGGTGTCACGGTAGAGTTAAGACTCACTGTAGCGTGGGCCTGCAGGTTTTTTGATCTCTACAGAAGTTTCTCCTACATTGACAGTATCCGTCGGAGATAGCTCGGCTAAGTTGAACGCAGTATCGGTTTCCGGAGACACTATACTCAACGCACGCGGTGAAATTGCACTCCAGGAACCCGCACTTTCATAGCGGTTGTGGCCACTGGTTGTTCGTGATTCATTCGGTAAATAAGTAGGTGCATCTGTGGCATTTGAGATGTATGTCGGAGCTGGAGTTCTCCGTACAGAGTCACGGTTTGTCTTGATGCTGGTTGCAGAAGAGAATGGAATGAATCTGCGAAGGGACATAGCGGATGGATATAGAAAGTCGCGAAAGATCCTGCACGGACACCAGTGATATCCGGACTTGTCACTGAAAGACACTGAGAAAGATTCCCGGGCCTCAAATATTCGCAGCGCGCGCAACGAAGTTTAGCGAGTAAGAGTTATGTAGTACGTGTGACATCTCATCGACATCGACTTTGACCAATGCTGCGCATCTTAGACGCTCATCGACCGATGCCGTGATATGACACTGGGTGCAAATTAAGTTTAATTAACATGTTCTGGGTTAGTGCCATAACTTCACTTTCCATTGAGGAATGCTAACTGAGAACTACATGGCCAAAATCATTTGTCCTCTTCTTTCTTTGTCGCTGCACTGGCGCGTGGGGAAGTTTGTATAGATCTCTATCTCAAAGACGTGAAGGAGGCCGATAGGAAGGTTGCGATGGAGTTCGAGGGCATTGGCAGAAATATGAGTGTAGCTGGAAGAGGGGAGGATGTAACTCGGAGGGGGTGGAGTGGTGTGGACTAAGACTTCGGTGCCAGCGGGTGTCACGGCGGCAGCAGAGTGGCGCCGTGGCGGGTGAGCTCCATTCTTTTATCTCCGTTATTTGGCATTGTCACACTTTATGAGCTTGTAGACTGTTCTTCCCAATGGTATCTCGTAGAATCCGGGCGATTTTACTCGGTGCCGGTGTGTTGTTAGTGTTCATGGCATACAAACTCTCCCAAATACTTATACAAGACAGCAGGACTCGGACGTAGCACATATTTTGGTGAGCAATATAGATTATGCTCGCGATCTGATCCGATATCCTGAGTATGTTCTTTGAGCTTAAACAGCGCGAACCTTGAATGGTAAAGCGCTTTTTTTGGCCGCACCATCGGATGTACAAAGCTTCAACATCAGGCTCGCAAGATTCCATACTTGGTCATATGAACTCGGAGGCTTTGGGGTCCAACGCATTTTTCCAACTGTCATCAGACTGTCATACGCACCACTCCGTGACGGGCCGTCAGCTGGAGTTAAGGCTTTGTTTTTCCATTTATATTCATTGGTCAGCCTTGCATATATCAATTGCGATGAATGCACCGCGATCGCAGGAGTTCCGATGTATCATGATTCATGGAAGGCGCGTGTTCTCGAAATTGGCGTATCTGTTGAAGATCGAATGACTAGAAGCCCTACAGGTATTCAGGGATCGCTTGCCGCACCCGATACATAAGCACTAAATCGGAAGACATAGCTCTCGCCTTACATAGGTACCATGTAAGAATCTGGTATATTTGATCCGCATGCATGCTATCGAGTTTCGCTTACAACCCACATAAAGATACTCGTCAGGGTAAAAAGCAAAGCAATGATTCTAGATCTGGCTTCCGTTAATGCAGAACATAGCAAGGCGTTCATAAAGTTTCCCCGTGCATATTTGAAGTAGCTGTCACCACCTGGGTACTAAACCTGGGCACGACACGACACACGGTGGATCACGATGCAAGAGCGAAATCTATTCATCACGCGACTATCACAGACATGTTGCGGAACGGATGCACTTAGCAGAACCCACGATTCTATTTCTAGTGAGTCTGATATTCTCTTGTGTTTGTGGCATTGGTGCACGTGAAATCCACACAAGGTACCTATAGACAAAAAGTTTGTAGAAACAGTTCTTACGGTTTCCGAAAACACTGAACGAACGAAAAAGCAGACAGAATGGCCCAAAGTGAAGGGAATTCTAGAGCGCTCGAGGTGAGTTTACATGAATCAATGATTTTGAGTGAAAAATGCGCCTGAGGGACTTGCATTACAGTCACGCAACATAGGTCTCGTCATCCGGTTCGGACAAACTCAGTGAGGTTAAATTGCAGTGAATCACACACTCTCCGGCTGTACACGAGAATAAAAGAGCTAGGGTGGTAGTTACTTCACCTCGTTTAAACAATAACTTCTATCATTTCTATACGTGGACGCCGCATTTTCGATGGCCCTCGTTTACTGGGTGAAGCCGCTACTCCCAACCACCCTGGATTGCATAGAGTCACTCCCTCTGCTGGGGACAGACAAAATCCTTCCAGCATTTGACGCCATCTGGGTCATCCAAGGTGCTCTATGTTTTGATAAGCTCAGACGCGCCCTGGCTCAGACATTGCGAGATTACCCGCACGTCGCTGGTCGACTGTCATGTGACCCAAAGACGCAAGAGGTGCGCATCAGGCTCACGAATGACGGTGTTCCTATCACGGTGGGGTCTACTAATCTGTCGTATGCAACGGATGAATGGTTTCACAACAACGAGCATCATCCGGATCTGGTGGGTAAGTTCTTTTCTCTTGCCCCAAGCAGTCTGGATATTGAGGTTTGTGACAGATCGGCTGCCTATGATGTCGTTCCATCCATCGGATGAACCATTGTCGCAACCATTGGCGCGGTTCAAAATCACTACTTGGAAAATGACAGGAGAGACATCTTTGAGTGTCGCTTGGTGGCACATCTTAGGTTCGTGGGATCTTTTGGTCCACGGAATTTATTATTGACAGGGAATATCAGGGGACGGGACGACACTCAGTCGAGTCATGCATGCATGGTCAAATTACTACCAAGATTTAGCCCCCGAAATGATACCAACGTTCGAAAAGTACGGTGATCCAGCACCGAAAATCGAACGACAATTCATCAATGACACTCTCACCCAAGTTCCCCATCTGGGCGTCCCCTATAGCACCAAAATGTTCCACGAGATGTTCAGTGAGATGCTATCGACAACTTCTCGCGTGGATATCAAATTAACCCTCGAGGAAATTTTGGCTATACGTGACATGGCAACGAAGAGTACGACGATGAGAGTATCGACTATGGACTGCCTCGCAGCATATTTTGTCACCGTGCTGAATAGGACTGAAGATGTACCTATTTGGGAAATATCTAATGCCATCGAGGTGAAGCACATATAATATCCTTAAGTGCAGCTAGCTTATTACGTACTTGGCTAGTATCGCGGAGTCAAATCAGCTCCTGGCAGCAATTATATTCCGCCGCCTATGAC